GGTTTAGCAAGATAACTGCTAGAAAACTGAGTTTAGGTGCATAATGCTTAATAAGTGGTTGTAGAGAAGCTATCCCGATAATGACTACTATTCATTTGGGGAATTTCACTAAACATTTTGACTCATAGCTTTTGGTAATGCTTTTGAAAGTCAAAAATTGTTCTGAGACTAAAAATTGCTTTTTAATATGTTTGAATAATTTTTTGAAAGTACTTAATTTGGTTATAATAACTTTTAGAGAAAGCTGACTTAATGTAGTTTTTATTGAGTTTTTCTATAAGAAGTAAAAGTAAAAGTAGAAATCTTGTTAAATGAACCCTTAGTAAATTTGACTCGTTTCTCTTGGTTTTTTCATCTCCCGAACAATGAAGAAACGGGGAATATGTGCAAATTCTACATTATAATTCGTTTGGTTGTTTAAATACAGCCTCTTGATACCAAGTCTGTTTCTTGATATAATTCAACATTTACATGGCGATGAATTCCATTAAATAATGACATAAAGCTTATATTACTCTAGTAGTAAACGGCCAAATGGCTTAAATTTGTTGATTTTTTTAGAAGAAAGACAATAATCTAGATGGATTCATTAGTGTTAGTTGAACATACTATAACCACAAATAGGTGGTGTTGGAAGTAAAATACAATAATTATAATATTTTTTTAACTTTTACCATGGTCTCTGATAAGTGTGTTTTTACACATTTATTTAGCTCACAAACATTACTTAAACATGGACAAAGTAGTTAACTTTTGACTTAATCTCGTTAAATTCATGCAATGTAGGTGTTTCTATGGAAAAGATGGAATTCAGAAGAAAAGAGCCGAAAAAGGAACAAAGCGATAGTTCGGGGACCCAAGGTGCAAATATTGGAAAGTTGAGCTAAAGTGCAGAACGAGAATGAAAATATGCCGAGTATGAGATTGAGGACAATAGAAGACGATCGGAGGAAAAAAGAAGTAATATTGGACTGAATTGAAGAAAAGTGAAAGATGAAGGACTAAATTGCAATTAATCAAAAGATGAGCCGAGAAGGTGATCAAGGAATTGATTGACCCAAATATCAATTAGGAGTCAATATTTGATGATGGAACAAAGGAAAGAAAGAAAAAAGATCAAGAAAAGAGAAAACGAAGTTCAGGGACCAAAACAGTAAGGTTAAAAATTACAACCATGCGGCCGCACAGAACTGAACCATGCGGCCGCACATTAGGTTGCAAGGATTTCATTGAGGTAGTTCACTTGAACCATGCGGCACCATGCGGCCGCATGGCTATAAAATCGAAGAAAATTCAGAACTTGCGTTTTTAATTGAAACTCTTTCGAGATTCCGTGAGGACATGATATAAAAGTCAAAATTCATCAAAAATAGGGTAGAACGACTAGGGAGAAGAAATTTACAACTTTTTGAGGCAAGAAACACGATCTTGAAACCGATTCCACAAGAATTCAAGCGGGTTTTCAAGGCTTTATTCAAGATTTCAAGAAATTCTCATACGGGTGCTATTCTTTCAATTTATTAATTTCGTTTTTTTTTTCTGTAATTATGAATATTCTAGGCTAGGTTTTCAATTCACTAGGTGATCGATGGACCATTGTTTGTTATTTTAATTCCATATTTCATGAATTTAATATAAAGACTCGTTTGGATAATTTGATTGGTTTATATGCATTGATTTTCTTCCGCAATTAGTGGCCAATGATTGAGTGAGTGTTGATGACTTATTTCTTACATTCGAGAGAAGTGGAATATGTTCGATAAGGTGTAAATCAACATAGGGTCCGATAGGGGATAGAGATATATCCCTATGCTTTATGCAATTCTCTAATTGTTCACAAAATCACATGCATTTTTGTATATTTGCATCATCCATAGAGATATAGGCTGGTGGTGTGCAAGACTAGGTCGAATATATATCGAGAGAATATGTTTAATAGATTTAGGAACATTGAATTGGCATTTCCATCGGGTCATTGATTTAATGAAATTAGGGTTTTTATAACTTCAATTGGGGATTCGTGATCCTAATAACTTTATTTTGATTCATTTCCATAAATTAGCTCTTGATTTTGCATAATTTCATTTACTTGAGTGTTTGAGTCGTTTAATAAGAGAAATTTCGATATTAGGGTTTCTAATTGAGAATTAGGGTTTTTAATTGAAATTAGGGTTTTTAATTGAAATTAAGGCTTTTTGCATTTGGACAATAATTTCACTCAATTAGATTCGGTTAAGGCTAGATTATATAGAATTGAACTACTCAATCTCCGTGGGACGATATTCAGACTTTTAAAAATCTACTTTATTACTTGTTACGATCCGTACACTTTCGGTAGTTTTAAATCGAAAGAATTATTTCGTGAACAGTCTCCATCTGGCAAGAGTAGGAAAATTTCAGAATTTTTGTTATTATCGAAAGCCGTTCTTTGAGGAGATTCTAAATTTATGTGTGTGAAGTGGTGACAATCATGAATCATCACAATATTTGATTAAGCAAGTCAAGAAAAAAATAAAAACTAAAGAATTTTTTTCTTTTACATATATTTATAACTAGTATTCGACTTTCTTGAGGAACAAGTAGTATATCTCTTGTTTAAGTTTATATCCACGTTAGGTGGAACGCTCTCTTTCAACTTGATGAGAACAACGTCAAGGAAGGTTCTAGGGGTTAAGCCATGGCTCAACTAAAAAATCTTTTATGCTGGGCTGATATGTAAAATGAAAATAAAAAATCCCCCAAATTTTTATTTTTTCTGCATTATAATATTTTTTTTATTTTTATTTTTTTTTTGCAAGGAAAAAAATTAATCTCAAATCTGCCAAACTGCCTTGAAGAATGTTTTTGATTAATTTTCGTGCTCGAGCAGTAGTAGGGTCCAAGTAAGGTTCGGGAATAGGGACTTCTTCCGCGATCGTACTTTTCTCTAATCTCAATATCCTATCCATGTTGTTTTGTATTTAAATATTTATTAGTATTAACATTTAAAATTATTAAGTATTTAACATAGTAAAAAAATGTTATTTCTTTACAATACGTTATAAAATATAAACACAGAATTAAAGTAAAATTATACAATGGAAGTAAAACAAATACAAAATGCATGCACCAGACATATTAATTAAAGGAAATAATTTGATAAGTGGCCCATGGAATTATTGTTCTCTAACATTATTAAGCACATCTACCAGACATGATAAACATATACTTAATTAACAAAACCCCAAGTTCCTAATGCTTAATTAAGAAACCCAGTTCATAATTACTGTGAAATAGTATTTATTAGAAAAATACTTTCTTTATTCCATTCTTGTCCCCCAAACAGGATGTTAATGTTATATAGAAAAATATATATATAAAATAAAATAAAAAGAAATATAGGAAACTGACACCGAAAATGAGGTGAAGAAGTAAAATCTTAAAAAAAGCGTTGACTATATCTAGTTTTCCATGCGTGCAAACGTACTTTTCTCGAAGCGTGAGGAGTTTCCAAATTCTTTAGCATGTTTTTCATTTAATTAAAGCTGGTGACTTAATGACTAAACAAATAAATCTTCAATAACAATTCAATAAATATTTAATTATTAGAATATTGTTAAGAATTTTAATTGTTATTTGTTAAATGATAAGGATAATTTTTTTTATTATTATTTTAAGATATATATTTAGTCTATCATTTTTAAAAAGACAATTTCGCTATTATTCGAGTCAATGATCAAGCCAAATTCCAGGAGAGCTCTTCTACAATTAATTAGGGTCTGTTTGACAATGTTTTTTGTAATTTCATACCTTAACGTGCTTCTACTTGTCAAGGTTGTAGAAACTTACTTGAAGTGAAATTTTCTCAAGAATTGAATGTGTTGAATCATTTGTCTTACTTTATTTGATCTTGCTGGTCCAAACCCTATCAAATTGAAGGAGTTCCTTAACCACAATCCAAATGATTTTACAATTGATTGAATACCCGAAAAAATGAGATAAGATTTTTCAATTTTCAACATTTTTTGCATACAAATTTCATGTGTTTTTTCTTGAGAGAGATTAATTTCATATGTAAGCTTCCACAACTTTCATGTATTAACATTTTTTTGGAAGTTATAATGTTGGTTAATTAGGTGGTGGGAAGTTATTCACGATTTTAAAGAATAACTTGTCCCTTTAATCCATTTTATTTTTCTTGGGTCGGATCAACTCATATGGACGACTCGTCCATTTTCAACATTTTTGAAAATCAAAAATTGCTTTTAATACTAAAGATCTACTTTTGAACGTGTTTGAATAATTTTCTAAAAGTATTTTGTTTAATTGATGGATCTTTTTGATGAGATGACCTAAAGTAGATTTCTTAGAAAATTCTTCAAAAAAAAAAAAAAAAAATGCAGAAGTCCTGTCAAACAAACCCTTTTATCTAATTTTACATTGAATTACATATTTGTGCAAAAGCAATTTCCCTTATAAACTAATCTGACTTTTGAAACTACCAAATGTTTCTATTTTGACGTCTCAATAATATAATGGGAAGCCGGATTAGTATATGAATTTATATAGAGTTGATCTCTTATCCTTGGTGAATAGAAGTTATCTTGCCTACCTGCTGATGTGGAGTTGTCATCTCAATGGATCAAACTTTTTTTTTTTTACTAGCCAAAACAATAAGGCTAGACCTCTGGCGTGGACATTGGTTATCGAATTAAGCTACTCAAATATGGAAATTTGACAAGAAATATTAACAGATTTGACATGGAGAACTATGATTAGCCTTTTTTTTTTTTTCTAAAAAAAAATCCATCTTCCAGTGAATAAATGCCCAGTGTTGTCTGTCACCATTTTCGGTCAAATTTCCCTGTTTGAGTAGCAATCATATCCTGTTCACTCTAGGCAAAAGATTAGCAGTGGATTAATATATAGCTTAATTGTCTTTATGCGACTAATCGGCATGCTATATTGAATGGAACTACTAGGCACGCCTATCTATAATATATAAGCTGTTCGGCCGACCATTTGACCTCTCTAATATTTGTCCTTGAGAGTTGGATGAATTCTTCCTATTTCCTTCTCCAGCCACGCCTGGAAATGGAGATTAATCCCTCCACTAGTCTTCAAAACTCCAGCCAAATAATATGGGTTGATGATGAGCAATTAGGCCTGCAGGGCCATGTTGTCAAGTCCTACAGATGCACTTTCTGTAAAAAAGGGTTCTCTAATGCACAAGCTTTAGGAGGCCATATGAATATTCATAGAAAAGATAGAGCAAAGCTCAAAGAATTCACAAGTGATCAAAATCTCCTTTCTTTGAACATCAAGAGCAAGGATCCTACTGTTGATGATGATAGTCCTCAAGAAAACTCGTCGAAATTAGCTTCTACTTTTCCTAATATTCGAGAAGATGATGATCAGAGAAGCTGTTCACTAGAAGTTGATCATATTATTATTCCTCCTGGAAAAGATGGTTTTAATAATCTGCTGAAACTGTCTTTATTTGCTGAGACTCCGTCTTTAAGCGGTGAGAAAGAGAGGCATGGTGAAGTTATGAAGTTTTGCCATGGGCATGGAATATCACAGACTGATGAAGTGGACCTTGAACTTCGGTTAGGGCCTGAACCTTACGAAGAACCAACAAAATCATAGTTGGAAATATTAATATACTTCCTGCAGGTTTATTTTGACATTATATTTCACTCTGGTAGTTCAAATATATATATATATTCATGTTTTGAAATGTAGTAATTGTTGCCTAGTGAAGGAAAGAAAAACTCTATATCTAATGATTCAAGCTGCAGCTTCAGCCTTCAAGTGCAATAGCACCAGATAGAAGATTATGATTAGTTCTTTATGCAGAATATAAATTCAGTATGTGCAAGTCAATACTCTTGGCTTACTTCATTACAAAGATGTTAATTCATTATCCAATCCTCAATTCTGAACATTGCAGCAGAGTTCACATTCGCTTCGATCCAACAAAGTGGTAAATAGTAATGCAAAATAACGCGGTTCATCTTTTGCCTTGAAATGTCAAGGAAAGAACGGCAAAGGTAGAAGACCAGGTGAAAGAATCAAGAATATCATTCACAAACTTTAATGGCAAAATTTGGAAAATTGGAGATAAAAGAGTGAATATATTTTAAAATATTTAGAAGATGAATTCAACTGTTAATCAAATGCTTCAAATGGAGAAATTTTAGACGAAGAATTGCTGAAAAAAACTGTGAATCTATTGTGGTTTTTATGGAAGCATTTTAAGATCTTTAAAAATTTTCGAAAGATTTGTACAGGAGTTTGCAACCTCAAGAATTTCTTAGTAAATATGGGAAATTCTCAAAGTTTCAGAACCCTCGAATCTCAAATAATATTTGTGGGAAACCATGGTTCATGTCATAGGACATGCCGGACACGGACAAGGAAGAGAATGAAGAAATATTAATGTCAATTGTCATCTGTGCAATAAAAGCAATAACTCCACAGAAGATGGGGGAGAAACTATCTATTTGTAGTTATCAAAGATCACATTTTTTTAATCTAAAAAATTCATGGAATTATAATGCTCTCGTTGCCATAAATTTAGACGTGGTCACTGATTATTGGTACATAAACAAGCTCAGAAATAAAATTGGATTTTTTCTAGGGAAAATTGCAGCAGTTGTCCCTAATTTTATTTTATTTTATTATTATTTTTTTTTTTTGCAGATTTTACCTTACTCTTCATTTTGTGCCAACAAAAGTCTCTAACCTTTTATTAATATGCATATGAGATCCACCAGGATGGAAACAGTTCAAAACATAGTCAATTGATCGAGAAATTTTTTTGAACTATCTGCTACCGTAACAATTTTATTGGATACTGATACATTTTTGGATGGTATTTTGGACGGTTTTAATAGATGTTGATTCCTTAATTTTTTTGGTCAATTGACGGTATTTTAAACAATTTTTGTCCAAATAGATTTCAAGTGCATATTTATGAAATGTTATAAATCTCCACTGGTACAAAATGAAGGTTAGAGTAAAGTTTGCAAAAAATGAAAAAGTTAGAGCTGTTGCAATTTTCCCTTTTTCTATGATTGTGAAATTTTCGTGGAACTTTGTTGTTTGTGAAGGATATATGGATTATATATGGTACCTGGATAGTATCACTATCCAAGCGCATGACTAGGAATAAACATTCATTTCCAAAATTTGTTAAAATTAATTAGCGGCAAGTGATTATCATAGATTTTAAATATTATAAACTTTAGTTATTGGAGATGTAGCATTTAGAAATAAGTCTCACAAAATTGACAAGATTAACCGGTTTAGAAAATAATCTAGAGTGGGTTAATGTTCTCTTGAATCCCTCAAGTGCATGATTTCGTAGATAAGTACAAAGTAGTGAGTTGATTATACTTTTCGAAAAGAATTTTTTTTTTTTGTTTTTTGGGGGGGGGGGGGGGGGGGAATAAAAATAAAAAAGACAGATGAAGATAAAGGCATTAGGATTTCGAATCCACCTATATTTTTCACTTTATCTTAAATTCTTGTAATTGATAATATTTGAATAAAATTGAGGATCAATATTTCTAATTAATTTAATAATCTATCTTAGGGATAGCAATGGGGCGTGTATGGGACGGGTCGGCCATTCCCATGTTTCTTTGAGTATTTTTTGTTATATTACCCCATATCCATAACCTGATTAAAGCGGGATAGGTTTCCAACCCCATTTATTTTTTCTTCTTATTTATTTTATTTTTTTATGCCCTTAGTTAGTAAATATTATTACTTTTTTACCAATTTGTTAAAAATGACTTATGTTCTCTTTAAAATGATGATAAATCTTTTTTTTTTTTTTTTGATAAAAACTTAAATTTAAAATTAACTTTAAACGGGCGCGAGGACTATGTTTTCCATATTTGCTCCATACCCCCTTCGGGGTGATGACCCTTGCCAGTACCCAACCCCTTTACTTGGTTAGGAGGGTAATCCCTGCCTCATTTGGGATGAGGCTTCCCGGATATCGAGTTGAATGGATTTTTTTGCCATCTCTAATCTCTCTCGATTTTAATTAAATCAATTATCACATATGATAATCAACAATACAATATCTCTGTGAAATATATGCTTACATAAAAAACGGATGAAAAGTAGAATGTTTAAATCAAAATCATGCAAAACATATCGATATATCTCTATCGCATATCAAACTTTAGGATGATTGCTACATGTGCTCAAACTTTTTTTTGACCTCTTGGAAAAGGTTAATTCGGATAGTGATCAAGTATTTGAAAGCATCAAGTAAATAGCAACCATTTAGATCAAACAAACTTAATCTAAAAAATAAGAATTTAAAGATTAAAGTTACAAAAACAAGGTCCCTTCATCATCCTAGTTAGAATACTCAGCCAAGCATAATTGAGTTAAATCGAGTTGACTGTATATGCCACTTACACATGCAAGGGGTGGATGATTTTTTTTTTTTTTTTTAAATAATCACCCACCACAACACGTGTCTAACCTGTACAAGCCATGTGAAACAGTGGCTCATACCGCTAGAATTATTCAATTGAGTTACAATGCATTGGAATGAGAATGTGTGCACTTTTGGCTATGGTTAAAGAAAAGTAAAAGCTTTTCTTTTTCTTAACATGTTTAGCTTTTTTATTTATTTTTTTCATATTTTAAGTTAAAAAGAAGTTACTTATTTTAAAAATAGTATATTATTTTATTATCTAAATAATTAACTTATTAGATAAAAATATTTTTTTTTATCTTCACTATTAATTACTTATAAGTAAACAATTTAAGCATGTCCAAACATGAGCTACATCACACGGTATTATAATAAGTGAAGAAAATTAGAAGACAATATTTGTTTGAAATCTCGAATATCTCTGAACGAACTTGATTAATCTTCTTTCTTCTTCTTGCTTCTTACCCAATATGTAACGCCCCTGGATCTTAATTCTGATAGCTAATTAACTTACCAGCAGTCAAAATCTTATTACAGATAACTCATACTTCTTAAATCTTAGTCAAACCTAGAAATTTGCTAAAATAATTTCTTTAAACCACTAAAAGGTTGTCAAAATTCAATTATTGCAGTCCATGTTGAGTACATAATTAGAATCTCAACGTCTTCCATTCGAGAAATACTTGAAATGATATATCAAAATCTAGCATTTCAATAATCTTGGATATATTTTATCACAGAAGACAAAACAAAACAAAATATTGCAATGTACGTGACAAATTCTTAAATAGAAAGTTGCAAATAATTTATTTGAAAAATCTTTCGAAAGGAAATAAAATAAATTATAGATTCTTAAAAACCTCATTTTTGAAAATTAATGGAAAATAAAAATTGAAGTTAATCTGACGCTGCTCTCCAACTCTAAAGGTTAAACCCCAACCTTAAGGGTCCCCCACCACCCCTGTCCTGGAGCATCGTGAGGGAGGTAAATCGCAGGTTATGCCTCCAAGGGTATAGGGTGGAAGGCTGCTTGTACACTTGCACTTACCCAAGAGCCAAATCCATATTTCAGGATTCGAACCCTTGACGCAGCAGCCTCAAGCAAAGCTGGATTTCTCCACCCTCTCCTTTTACCACTTGGAGATGTGCCCTGGGGGCGACGCTGCTCTCCAACTTGTTATGGAACAAGGTGGTGCAAGACTTTCTTTACAACCTGATTACCTACAAGAAAGAAATTGAGGCTTTAACCACCGTTTGACCTCTGGGGTGGGACTAAGAATATGGAGGGGGAAAGTAATATTGCAAAGTGTACTATGGTATTTGTACAAAGTATATTTACAAATTTGATTGACAAATAAGTGTTGGCAAAATTCAGATCATTGATTTCGAATTATTTAAAAATCTATTTTTGAAATGACTGGTGTAGATATTATTTTGTCAACCAACTTTGTATATGTAGCATAACTCTTGGAAAGTAACAAAAGTTTCCGTTAATAAAGATTTCGTAAGTGTTCATTAGTCCTGCCCAATACCTTTTAGGGTGTATTTATAGGTAGCCGGGTGGTGGCCACTTGTTTCTAGCTCTTAAGAGATTGGAGAAGCGTGCTCCATCATTTCGAGAATCCTGGTGAAGGGATGCATAACCGCTATTCAGTTATTCCATGAGATCAAAATATGGGACTTTATGCCCAAATTGTAAGATACAAGTCATGGTCAATCGACCACTTGAGTGGCTATCGACCAACCATAAATCTCAACACAAATAATTAGCTCATTTTATACAAATGATAAAAATGATAATATTCCATACAATACATTACAAATAGAAGATGATAATGAAGAACAATATCTTTTTTGTTGGATTTTTGAAGATTTAGTGGCATGAACTTGATTTTCCCAAAATCTTTCTACCGCCTTTGGTTGATTCTTCTTATGCTCTTGATTTTGTCCCCCCAAAATGTCAAGAAATTATGGAAAGAAAAAGAAAAGGAATGAAAATGAAGAGGAAAAATAAAAAAAGAAAAGGAAAAGGAAAAGGAAAAGATAAAGAAGAAAGGAAGAAGATATAGATGTTGCCTGTGTCTTCCAAGTTTTTAAATCCTTAACGATATCCTAAATTTGCAAAAATGTCATCAGGTTAAGGAAAAAAGGCAAAATGGTCCCTTCCCGCTTTACTTAAATGTGGCACCTAAGTGCTGTAAATGTGGTGTCTAAGAGCCATCTTTCTGCCACACAAAAAAAATAAAAAAAATAAAAATAAAAAAGAGAGAGAAAGAAGAAGGGTGTCTAAGCGCCATCTTTCTGCCTAAAATAATAATAATAATAATAAAATCAATTAGATTCATTTTGC